CCCAAATGGCTACTACGGCTGGCGCGCTGCACAGATCAGAAACCAGGAGCCAGGTGTTTCCTCCTGGTCTCCCATGCGGGTGTAGGGCCCAAGCACTTGGGCCACCCTCCACTGCCTTCCCGGGCCACAGTAGAGAGCTGGACTGGAAGAGGAGCAACCGGGACAGGATCCGGCACCCCAACTGGGACTAGAACCCGGTGTGCCAGCGCCGCAGGCAGATGATTAGCCTAGCGAGCCACAGCACCGGCCACACTGGCTTATTCTTCACTTGCTCCTTTATGGTTTCAGAATTTGGAGCAGTTCCAGGCAGCAGCATACTCTATAGACACAAAAAAATCCAAACATGGGAATCTAATTGTTTATTCCCACTTGTTTTATGAATAAAAAGAGAAGCGCTTGCCAATGCCCCCCAAATAATTCCTCTTGAAATGTCTTCATCAAAATTGAGTCACATGATCATGCTTAGACCACTGGCAAGAACAAACTGTCAATCAAGGTTTTACCCCTTGAGCTGGAAATGGCTGTTACCTCCTGAAAAATATGGCTGGGAAAAAGAGAGAAGATATCAGAACAAAAATCTTGAATTGTTAGAGTGGAGGATGGGAATGAGATTTATGAATGATTGTTGATGGGAAGATGGTGTCGGTCACAGATTCTCTTTCACATTCCTATTCACTTGACCTCCTTGCTACTCACCCTGACACATCCCATCTGCCAGTATAAGTGTTGGGGTAAAGTGGAGAAAAAAAGAAATCAGCATGAATCCAACAGAAATGAAATCAATCATTTCTTTAAAAAAAATTCTCAAACACGCTTATTCAATTAGAACTATATGCCTTCATTGGTTATTCAGGAGTAATTCTGAAACTATTTCCCAACTGGAATCAAATTGATGCTGATCATTCAGAATAAACTATTGACCAATCAGAATGTATAAGGCTGAAAAGGCCTAGTAATGCTGTCCTGGTGCAAATCAACTGAACATAAACACCACACATGGTACCAATTTAAGAAGGTACCAAAAGGTAAACAGTGAAACATGAACTCTCCTCCCATTCCATCCTCTAACTTCTCAGTTCACTTCTTTAATGGTAACCACTTCTACCCACAAAACAAGCTTTTGAAAATTTGTAATAAGAGAAATCGTATTGCTGAGGCTGGACTACGGAACTAGGGCATACCTTCACTCAGCTGTGGTTTTCATTAGCAGGTTCTAGCCACAGAACATCCAGGACTCATGGTATCTCTAGGAACAGTCAAAATTTGCCTTGCGGCAGAAAAATCAAGCAAGAATCCAAAAGAGAACTGACAGATACCAGGACCCAGATTTCCAACAATGGCTCAAGTACGTGTTAGCTCTCCATCATCTTGACTTCTGTCTTCCAAGATGCCATTTTGTGGAAAGCAAGCTGACATTGATTCAATGTTTTAACCTAAACTTGAAGGAACTGCTTACATTACTGCAATAAAATAAGCTTATCAAATTGGTCTAATATTTAGGGTTTAATCCCAGACATAGAGGACATTTTATTTACACAGCTGAACATTGGTGAGTAAATCTGTGATATCTGCAAAAAAATTTCAAGTAGTTCTTTATATGAAATGCTGCTGAGACATAAGATTATGTCATTTGGTATTTATTTATTTTTTTTTAAGTTAACTACATTTTCCTTATACTTAACTTTTGATAGATTTATATATATTGCCAATTATATACTTACATGTACACCAAATACTTTTTTAGAATATATGAGGATGTAATACAATTATGGCTTAGGCATAATACAATTATGACTTAGGCACAAATACAGCTGCTGTTACAGTGAAAGAATAAAGCAAATAAAATTAAAGTCAGGGCCAGCATTGTGGCGTAATGGGTTAATCAGCTGACTGCAACCTGGTATCCCATATAGGCGCTGATTTGAGTCCCCAGTGCTTCACTTCCAATCCAGTTCCCTGCTAATGCACCTGGGAAAGCAGTGAAAGATGGACGAAGTATTTGGGCCCCTGCACCCACATGGGAGACCTGGATGAAGCTCTTGGCTCCTAGCATTGGCCCCGCCCACAGGGTCACTGTGGCCATTTGGAGAGTGAACCAGCAATGGAAGCTCTCTCTCTGTAACTCTTTCAAATAAATAAATAAAAAAAAAATTAAATTAAAGTCACAAAATTAATGTTAGGGTTAGAATATAGAAAAACACTATTATATACAAAATACATTGTTTCCCTAAAATGGCCCTAGTGAACATCGAGTGGAAATATTTTATCAGAAAGGTGAAATTTGGAATCCAAGTACTATGTTGTAAACGAATTTTAAAATCAACCTAGAGTACTGCTATAAGCAGCTCCTCCCATGATGTGCTCTTCCTCCTCCCAGGAAATCTGAAGCTAAAATTAGTTTTCCTGTTCTGCTTCCACTACGCTTGCTGCTAAAAAGGAAAAAGAATAAAGCTACAAAATGCTATAGTTTGATAGAGAGAATTAACTATTCATCAGCCAAATAACTGAACATTATTCCAGTAAGCACTGTTTTAATATGCACACCAAGACCCATTTTCCTTCATAAAGTTTTCTCTGTTAAGTCCATGTAATTCCAAACATTCCACTGCTATTCTCTTTCTAGTTACTGCTAATGCAAAATTTAATGCTTTGGCAAATACTAATTTTTTTAAAGATTTACTTTTCTGACAGGTGGAAGTGGTGGAGGAAAGAAGGAGGTCCCCAAATGGCTGCAACAGTCAGGGCTGGGCCAAAGCCAGGATCCTGGAAGTCTCTCTGGGTCTCTCTCATGGGTAACAGGGGCCCAAGTACTTGGAGCATCTTCCACTGCTTTCCTAGGTGCATTAGAATCAGGCTAGACTCAAACCAGAGCTCCAATATGGGATGGCAGCATTGCAAGGGGCAGCTTAATTGGCTTTGTCACAACCCAGGCCCCAAATACTGTTTTTTGTTCTCTCATTTTGACAGCGATCCAAGAGTGTAAACTAGCTGACAGCAAAATTCATGACGTTTGGAAAACACTTAATATATAGTGCTGTCAAAAGACAAAGAGCACAACAAATTTAAAGATCTTAATTGGTTTTTATTTTAGGTTCTAGGATTAGGCAACAGCTATCCCATAAAATAGAATTATGTGTTCTGATGAGTTGAGCAGAGTTTGGCCTTACACACAAGGAAAGGGCTCATGAAAGCAGAAACGGAACGAAAAACAGAACTGGTCATTTCAAAGTTGCTTGTTTAGGGATCTGGCTGCCATCACTGTACTGGCTCGTCCAAGTTCATACAAAAAACTCAGGCTTGGTGCTGTGGAACTTTCAGCATGAGTTACTCCATTCTGGTTCCACCTGTTAGGTCTAGTGAAGGAGTTCAGCCCAAACTAACGACATCCTATACATTAATAGTGCCAAGGCAACATGAGCAAGGAAGGCAGAATTGAATTAACTCCAACCTTAAAGGACATTTAACCTTTAGTGACGAACCTTGATGAGACGGCCTAGGTTCATGCTTCTACATTTTTTTTCTTCAAAGCTATCAAAAACCAAAACCAAAACCAAACCAAACCAAACCAAAACAAAAACCCGCAAGCCTCCCAAAATCCAAAAGGACGGGTGGAAGACCGTATCCGCGAATGTGACTAGTCGGCATAGTGCGTGGCACTGTTTAATTTAAAACTTTCTCAAAGGAACTTACTTTTAATCCCTCTCTGCAATATTACTTGTTTGGTACCACATCTTGACAGGATCAAAAGATTCTGGCAAGGGCGAAGCCCCAATCTTTAACACTGGGAAAAATTTCAGCAAAAACTCCTGAAAAACCCAGCCTATCTGACAGGAACGGTCAAAGTCCAGCCCTGGCTACCGAGCGGCTGAAGCCGGCGCGCAGCAGGAACGCCGGCGCTCGGCTCGTGACGTCACAACTTGCTACGCGACGGTTGCTAGGCAGCACGCGTGCACCTCGGTCCCCGCCTCTCCCTGTTCCCGGGCCCTGCGCCCGCGGTCCTGCCGCGTTGGGCGACCCGCGGGGCAGGGTGCGGACAGCGCGATGCCGCGGGAAAGCTGCTGGCGGGGGCGTTGGGATCCCGGAGCACCATGAGCCTCAGGTTCCTCGCCGTTCCGGGCTGATGAGCATTGCGCACGCTGCCTCCATTTGCCTACAGGTCTCGGATGCGAGGGCGGCAGCGGCCGGTCCAGACGCGGGAAGACCACACGGGGCTACGTGTTTACCCACCCGCGACGGAGAAGCGGTTCCATCCACAGCGGCGCTCTGGGATTCCTAAGTGAGGGTCGCGCCCTAAGGCGGCGTGGTGACTGCGCGGGGGCCCTACGAGGCGGGGCGGGAGGAGGAGGTGGAGGAGGATCACGGGGCTGAGGCGGGAGGGAGCCGCCTCCGCGCGCGGGGAAGCGGAACCGCTGGGAGGAGGAAGGTCGCGAGCGGCGCCGGAGCCCGGGTGTGGAGCCGCAGCCCAGCCCGCGAGCTCGGAGGCAGCTGAAAGGAACCGGTCCTTGGCTGGTGCCCAGCTCCCTGCGAAGCGACGGCGAAGCCGATCTCTCCGGCCACGCCCTTTGTGGGAGGAGCTCTGGGAGAACCCGCCCCGCAGCGGCGCGTGCGGCTCCGGCGTCTGTGCGTTTCGCCCCGCCCTCCGGGCGCCGCCCCCTTCCTGGCGTGAGCCGCTTCCTGACGTGATTCCCCTCCCCCTCCGGGTTCGCGCAGGGTGTCGGGCCCGGGGCCGCCACCGCCACCTCGGCCTCTGCTGCTGCCCCCGCCGCCGCCTTGTTTCCCCATCTCCTGTCATGGCCGAGGAGCTTTCCGCGGCCACGTCTTACACCGAAGATGATTTCTACTGTCCCGTGTGTCAGGAGGTTCTCAAGACGCCGGTGCGGACCACGGCCTGTCAGCACGTGTGAGTAGATGCCCCCTCCCCCGCGCGGACCTGGGTGGTCGTTTAGGCCCCGCATCCGGCCCTGGACCCTCAGATGCGGCGTGGCGGGAGCCGAGCCCGTCGCGGCCTGCTTGGGAGGTGGGGGGGACCCGTTCTCCGCCAATCGTCGCTCTGGTCACCCCCTCCGCCAGGCTCGGAGCCCGCTGCCCGGGCCTGGGCTCCTCTGCCCGAGCGCCTAGTACCCGGGCTTATCTCATTTCCGTGCCTCCGGGGCAGGGGCCAGCCGCGGGCCTCTCGCTGAGGTAGTCCTCGGGCCCTGGAGGCCCCTCCAGCCTCCGCCGGGCCCGGGAGCAATTGACGGGAACTTGGAGCCTTTTTGTTTCCTAGCAACCCAGGCGCAGGCTAAGGTGTCGAGTGTCAAAACCGGCACAGTGGCCTACCCTCCCACCTGCCCTGTGTCTTAAACTTTTTGCTTCTTTCAGAGCCTTGGTTCATCATCCCTTCTTGATCCAGCAGCGTTTATCTAACTCTGATCCTGCTGCACGGATCGCGCTCCAAGGGCTTGGCTTCGCTTAAAATTGAGTGTATGTTAGAATGGTCTAGAATGAGTTTTATTCTCTCCTGTGTTGGCACCGCTAGGATTTCCGGGTATTGAAGTGATAGTTGCCCTTTGTTTTACCCTTCTGCTTATTGGTTACTGCAAGGCTGGAGGTGAGTTCTGTTAGGAGGAATGGGCTGACCCGTGGCACTAACTGTAGGGGAGTGAAGGAACTGGGTGCTTGTAATTTTGTAGACTTGCTGAAGTGCCAGAGTTAGAGGGAGCTCTTCCTGAGAAGGCAGATAGGACTTGTGACTAACCTGGCGGATGAGTGCCCTGGTAACTTTGTAAGCAAACATACCAAGGCCCAGGGTCCACTTCAGACTTAAAAAAAAAGAATTTCTGGCAGGGGTGGGCTGGAAATCTTTATTTTAAAAAATATACCCAGGCTTCAATGTTCTCATGCTTGAAAACAGTTGAGGAGAATTGAGCCCATTCTTAAATGTATTTCTATTTTTTTCTTGGAGAGGTGGGGTTCCAAGAGTTTGTGGAGCATGAATTGACTTTTGTGTTCCTCATCACAAATGTCATTGCTACAGTTTTTTTTCCTCTTAATCTTAAGTGCACTGTCTGCTTTATTCCTGAACTGTATTGGTTGTACGAGCCAAGAATATGTGGCTTTTTCAGGTTAGAAATTATGTCAGTTGTGTGTTTGCTCTATTGGAAGATGAATTAGTCCAAGATGTCTAGGAAAGAATATTTAAATATTCTACGTACTGTGCTGGCAGTGAGTGGAAAGGTGGGAGGAAGGCAGGACAAGATGAGGAGTTAGTGTAGCTACTAATAGTATGTATATGTGACAGGTTTGTTTCTGGACAGAATCATTTTGGTTATCCTTTGGATCACTGACCTCACAGAACTTACTGTAATTTTTAGCTCCCCTCAAAATTCCATGCAGATTGCACTAGTCCACTTCCCTTGTGGGGTAGTTTATTTAAATCAAGAACTATAATTTGACTTGACCTCAGAAGTATGGAAAAAGAGAGTGCAGATTGGTTTTTAATTCAGGGCCTTTCTCAGATCAACTCAGTGAGTTTAGATGTCACCAAGTGGCCTCCCATTCCCACTCCTCTGTATAGTAGTTACTTTGTAGTTCTGGCTGGAGAATGATCTAAATAAGTAAAGGGAGGAAAATACTTTATTTGAAGGGGGTGGTATTAGAATAAGGTCTTGGTTGGCTGGAAGAAGTTTGATGGAGAGAATCTTTGTTTTAAAAAGATTTATTTAGTTATTTGAAAGGCAGAAAGAGAATACCTTCCATCTGCAGTTTCAGTCCCTAAGCTCCCACAACAGCTGGACATGGGCCACATAAGAGCCAGGAACTTAGGAACTCTATCTGGGTCTCCCGTGTAGGTGGCAGCTACTTGATGGCAGTACTTGAGCCATCATCTGCTGCCTCCCAGGTGCATTATCAGGAAACTGGATCAATAGTGGAGGTGGGACTTGATCCCAGGCACTCTAGTTTGGGATGTTGGCATCCAAGTGGCTGTCTCACTTGCTGTGCCATAACACCTGCTCCAATTAAAAAAATTATGATTTATTTGAAAGGCAGAGAAATATTAATTCATTTATATGTTTCCCATCCCCTAGTTTACTCCTTAAGTGCTACCACTGCCAGGGCTGGGCCAGCCTGAAGCCAGGAGCCCAAAATTCATCCTGGATGTGCCAAGTGGATGACAGGGATTTAAGTACTTGAGCCATCACCTGCTGCCTGCCAGTGTTCATTAGCAGGAAGCTGAATGGGGCATGGAACTGAAATTCAGACCCAGGCACTCTGATAAAGAATGTGGGTATCTTAACTGCTGTGCCAAATGCATGTACCAAGAATCATTTTTTCAAGTAATAGAGTGTATTGTGTCATTTGCCTTTTTCTGTTTCATGAAGGAGAGGTCTGTACCTTTAAACAACTTTATATTTAGCTAAACAATCAATTTCTAGTTCAAAAATGGAGAGGAGCAAGGTGAGACTTTGAATCATTGTAGGTCGGTTTGAAAGTAAGTTTCCAGGGATCAGTGCTATGCCTCAGTAGGTTAAGCTGTTGCCTGCAGTGCCAGTTTGAGTCCTGACTGCTCCACTTCCGATGCAGCTCCCGGCTAATGCTCCTGAGAAAGCACTGAAGATGGCCTAAGTCCTTGGGCCCCTGCACCTACATGGGAGACTTGGATGAAGCTCTGGGCTCCAGCCTGGCCCAGCCCCAGCTGTTGTGGCCATTTGGGGAGTGAACCAGCGGATAGAAGATCTCTCTCTTTGTGTCTCTTGCTGTCTCTCTGTAACTCTATAAATAAATAGCTTTTCATTGAACGCTGGATAACAGGAAAAGGTTTGCCTACTGATTATTCAAGTCAAAGGAGCAAGTTCATTGTCATTAACAACTTTATCTAAATATCAATTCCCATTTAATCCCTATTCATTCCTTCCAAAAGCCATTGTTGACTGCTCTGTTTGCATAGTATGGGGAATGCAAAGTGTTCTTTCACTAGAGACTGTTAATAGTCTAATGGAGAAGACCTCTAAATGAGCAATGATTGATGTGGAGGCAGTTTAGCAAGAAAATTTTTTGTGAGCATTGGGAGGTCAGAGATCTAAATCACCCGTGAGTATAGGGACAGTTTCTTGGATGAAGTAACACTTGAGATTAAAATTTGTACATAGGGGTTGTTGGGAAATACCCTGTTTAGGTTTGCATGGTATGAGAGGCAAGGAGCACGGTACTGAGTATGACTCTGGCCTTCAACAAAGTTTGTCTGGAGCCAGAGAATGAGTGTACTGGAGATGTAGCTTAGAGATACTGGTAGGAACTTACTGTGTAAGACGATTGGAATGTTTTTCTGAAAACCATAGAGACCTATTAAATAATTTTTGGCAGAGAAGCAGCATGGTCACATTTCAATTTTACAAAGTTTACTTGAGTGGCAGAGCTCAGTTTGGTATTGGTAAGAGTAGTGAAGAGGCTGGCGACACATTGATGTGTCAGGGAGAGAAGTGATTCGAACCTGAACTAATGTAACGATAGTGGAAATGGAGAAATGGTTTCTGCTCTTTGAAGGAAATTATATAGAAATTTGGTGATTCTATGTCGAATGGTTAAAAGTATGAGGGAATTTTTAAAGTTTGTGGAAAAATAGAATTAAAAGTTGTTTCTTTTGATGAAAAAAATTGAAATCCCTGCAGTTTTTTCATAATACCCTTTTTCCATAAACCTTTCAAAGTACTGTGTGTGTAGTGAAAGGCAGATCTGGAATTCATGGAGCTAAAGCTGTGCATGTGCATGTTGTCCCCTTAGGATGTGTATAAATTGACAGATGAAAGATGGACCAGATAGAGCAAAGTACTTGGAGAATACAGATTTAAATATTAAGTAGAGAAAAGCGGAGTCTGAGAAAGAACGGACTGAAGAATAGAAAGAAAACCAGAATAGAGCATGCCAGTGGAAACTGAGAATTTTAAGGAAATAGCAATATTAGACGCATATGAGTAATCAGATATATTTTGAAAAACAAAATAACATTAAAGTTGAACAGATATTCAAAATAAAGTCTTAGAAGAAAGTACAGAGTGGCACAGTAGTAAGGTCTATATCTCTTTTGGTGATAATAATTGGTTCACTTCTCAAATGTCTGTAGCCTCCTGGTCTGGGCCAGACCAAAGCCAGGATCTGGGAACTCTTTCTGGGTCCCCCAACATGTAGGGCAGGGACCTAATTGCTTTTTTTTTTTTTTTTCTAAAAAAAGATTTTATTTGAAAGGCAGTGTTACAGAGAGGCAGAGAGAGAGAGAGAGAGATCGATCGATCGATCTTCCATCTGCTGGTTCACTTCCCAGATGACCACAACAGTCAGAGCTGCCCCAATCTGAAGCCAGGAGCCAGGAGCTTCTTCCAGGTCTCCCATGCAAGTGCAGGGGCCCAAGGCCTTGGGCCATCTTCTACTGCTTTCCCAGGCCATAACAGAGAGCTGGATTGGAAGTGGAGCAGCTGGGACTTGAACCGGCCCCCATATGGGATGCCAGTACTGCAGGCGGCAGCTTTACCCGCTGCACCACAGTGCCAACCCCACGACCTAACTACTTTGACATCACCTATTGCCTCCTAGTGTGTGCATTATCAAGAAGCTGGAATCCATAGTTGAACCAGGACTTGAACATAGGCATTCTGCTCTGAGACTCAGGCCTCTCAAGTGGTGACTTAACTGCTGTGCCAAATGCCTACCCCCAAACTTCTTGAAATACCGTTATAGTTACTTATAAAACGGCATCACTTAAAAAAAACTGTGGTATTTAAAATACGTAATAGGAGGTTGACATAATTTTAAGTCCTGAACACTAATTAAAATCTCTGATTATTTGCCTTTTTTTTTTTTTTTTAAAAAGGCTTATTTATTTATTTGAAAGTCAGAGTTAACACATAGAGAGAAAGAGGCAGAGAGAGGGAGAGGTCTTGCATACATTGGTTCATTCCCCAGTTGGCTGCAGCATCCGGAGCTGCGCTGATCCAAAGACAGGAGCCAGGAGCTTCTTTTGCATCTCGCATGCAGGTGCAGGGGAGGGGCCCACAGACTTGGGCCATCTTCTACTGCTTCCCCAGGCCATAGCAGAGAGGTGGATTGGAAATGGAACAGCCAGGTTCAAACCAGCACCCACATGAGATACCAGCACTGCAGGCAGCAGCTTTACCCACTATGTCACAGCGCTGTCCCCGATTATTTGCTTTTAAAGATTTTTGGGGAATGGTTTTGATTACAGACTAAAATATATATGGAAATATATGGTGCCAGATTTTTAATTTATCTGATGTAAATCAGCAGCACGATGGGTGAGAATGTTGTTTTTCTCTCCATATCTGTTGACGTTTTTTTTTTCTTGGGTAAAAAAAATAAGAACAGAAATTCACCTGGCATCTGCTGGTTTGAAATTGAGAGAAATTTAAAGATGATCTTTTAAGTTGTTTTAGGGTATTATGCTATGTTAAAGATGCAAACTCCTTTGATATGTTGAAATAGTTTTAATAATTCTTTGCACTTTTTTCCTTTCCTTTTCTCCTTTCTTGTGACATAAGCTATCTAGCAAGTTCATATAGTTTTTTGTTTTGTTTTGTTTTGTCTTTTTAAAGATTTATT